GTAAAGGAGTGTGTGTTAGCAATGCCAACTGTTGCTGGCATGTTGGGGGAAAGTGGCCTGCCTTAGAGAAATTCCCCAAGGCAGTCCATCAGTAATACCTTCCATAATGACTTAAGAAAAATGAGCTTCTAAGAAGTAATTTTTCGCTTTTTTATAAGTAAGCCTTTTTTCTGTGCCCAAAGTAAATCTGAAAGTTTACTAAAAATAATTTTGGGAAATTACCATAAACATAATGTAGTGTTAGTGAATGAGGAAACCTGAAGATAAAAAGGTGTGGCCCTTCCTCAAGAAACATGATTATTTAACCTATATATGTTTGTCTATATAACAGTCCAGGGAAAGTAAGTCTTAGATTCTTTGCACAGATAGCTAGGCACATTCCAGAATACCTGAAAAAAAAAATTATTTTTCAAAAATGTTTGTTTGAATAGGCATTTCTAAAAATATACTGAATTTACATTTAAAATGTATTCAAACTCTTCATGGTTTATGCACTTTTGTATGCTTTATTTCACAATTGAGAGGAAGAAGGGATTCTACAACTTTTTTTTTTAAATTTTACTTATTTGAGAGACACAGTGAGAGAGTATGAGAGGGGAGGACAGAGGGAGAGGCAGACTCCTCATGGAGCTGGGAGCCTGATGTGGGACTCGATCCCAGGACTCTGGGATCATGACCTGAGCTGAAGGCAGTCGCTCAACCAACTGAGCCACCCAGGCGTCCTGGATTCTACAACTTTTTAAACAGTCACCTCAAAGGCTAAGAAGAGCTACTGTCAAAGATAATTAAACATATATCTAGACTTAGGAGGACCAAAAGTATTCTAAAAATGCTTTAAGCAATGGCAGCATCACCAAAATCATTCACACACTGAGCACCTGCCTACTCAGTGCCTAGCATTGTCCTGCATGTTTTTGAATACAGAGTCTGCCAATGTGACTACTCTGAAGGGAACATTAGTCTTTTGGATGGTACAGTTCCCCTGTGTCTGTCTGCTAAGACATAAAAATCACTCTTTTCTAAGATGTGACATTAGTGAAAAAATTTGAGAGTAATATCAGTTGTTTGCCTTGAGTTTTAGCTATTGATTTGGTAGAGAAGAGATCTACAGGAATTCCAGTTGCTAACTGACAAATTTTCAAGCTGTTCTTTTTGACTTGAAGATAATTATGAAAAGAGGTTAGATTTTTCTGGAATGTCTCTCATTGCAGGCTGAGTGGCTGCTCAGGGGTATTTGTCTTGCTCTAGATTAGCATAGGCGTTCTTGGGTCTCAGAAGGTCCACTGATCAATTGCTTTGAATCCAGGATTCTGGGCCAGCTTTCTGGCCAGGCTATTCTGAGCAATGGATTTTTGTGTGTGTGTGCAAGACTGCCCAAAAGATAAGGCAAGTAGAGAGCAGGTAGGAAAGCTGTCTTCAAGTATTTAAAATATTATTAGGAAAAGAGATTAATTGGTTAGTTTTTGTGTGATGTTGGTTGGGTTACCTAACTTGTATGTGCTTCAATTTCCTTAAGTGTAAAATGGAATAGTATTTGGAATGATCTCAAAAAAATACATGTAAAGCCTTTATTTCCACTCAGCAATATTAGCTTTTGTTATTTTTTTTTCTGTGTATGTCAATGGAAAGAACTCTAGCAAGATAATTTTTTAAATGTGTATTTCATGGATAAATATATATTTATCAAGAAGTTTTAAACATATTCTTATAGAACCTTAGACCATTTGCTGGAGTGAAGTGAAAGCGTGAGTACTCCCCATTTGTACAAGCTGAAACTCAAGAAGGTAGTAATCTGCCCAAAGTCTTCCTGTGAGTATGTGAGTACACTGGTACTTGAATGAGGTTTAAGTTCCCAAGTCTATGTGCTTTTTACTATATCAGGCTACCCTAATAAGGAAACTAGGGCCAATCCAAGGGTGTTGGGGGATGCAGAGTTCAGTCACTGAATGAAAAATCTTTTATTAGAGTTTACAAAATGGCTTGTAATGGGAAGTGAGCAGTACCAGTATTCAAACAAGAGCTTGGTGACCAGTTTTCATAGATACTGTGAAGGACTTCTTGCATTTGGGAGAATCTTGCCCTAGATGATTGTATGGTCTTAATTAACTTTGTTAGTTAATACTTTTTAAAACTTTCATTATTTTTCATTGTGACTCATCTCAAAGTCATAAATAATGTAATCTGCTCTGACTTAGATGTTTTGTGTAATTTATTTGCCTTATACTTTCTGATGGCAAAATCTGGGTAACATGACCTGATATATTTAGCCTTAGGTATATGTCCCATTGCATCACAGACATTGCATGTCTGTTGAAAAGACATATACTCAAGGGTTGAAATCTAGTAGAATCAGTAACTTTTACTGCTTTAGCAGAACATTCTTAAGCAAATCTGTTGCTCCCTCTCCCCCTTACTGTTAGGTAAGGATTCTGGGCCAGCTTTCTGGCCAGGCTATTCTGAGCAATGGGATTTTAAAAATTGAATAATTACTGGATTTAAAAAATTGAATAATTACTAATACTCTTTGGTGTCACCATCTTGATTCACAGTGAAATACCACCAGTAGTTTACCCATTTCTTTTGTACCATCAGTGCAAATGTTCAACACATGTGTTGGCAGTATAAACTCTGTGATTCAGAAAGTTATCCAGCGCTTTGACTGCTTCAGCATCACTTGTGTTTTTTGGCAGGTATTCACAAAAAGAAGATATTCTTTGATAATTAATTGGTGCTAATTATCAAATGAATATAAGCAAAAAAGTAAGTTCACAGTCCAGGGAAAGTAAGTCTTGGATTCTTTGCACAGATAGCTAGGCACATTCCAGAATACCTGAAAAAAAAATTTATTTTTCAAAAATTTTTGTTTGAATAGGCATATCTAAAAATATACTGAATTTACATTTAAAATGTATTCAAACTCTTCATGGTTTATGCACTTTTGTATGCTTTATTTCACAATTGAGAGGAAGAAGATGGATATTCATCCATCTGTAAGGCAAGTACAGTCTTTTAAAAAGTATTTTATTTCTAAGAGAGAGCAGGAGCAGGGGGAAATGGAGAGGGAGAAGGAGAAGCAGACTCCCCTGCCAAGCAGAGAGCCCAATGTTGGACTCCATCCCAGGACCCTGGGATCATGACCTGAGCCGAAGGCAGATGCTTAACCAACTGAGCCACCCAAGTGCCCCCAGGCAAGTACAGTTTTGAAGATGAGCTGTTAATTCAGTCTTCACGTTACAATTAAAATTTTAACTTGAGGGGCGCCTTTAACTCCCTTCTGGACCTGCTTCTCCCTCTCCCTCTGCCTGTCTGTGTCGAATGAATAAACAAAATTTTTTTTAACTTGATGAATTACCTTAACATTGGAAAATGGCACTCCTGTGATTTCTATACTGAATTTTTAGTTATTCAGCAGTGTCAGTTGTACCAAGGCTTTAAATTAGCCTCTTAGCCTGTCAGTTGTTTTCTCCAGACAGCACAATATGAAATATCTGAAAGAAACTTCAGTGGCCTCCATATTTCTGGCTTGGGAAAACCAGGGACCAACACGTTTTGGCTTTTAAAAGAGCTCATGACTTCGATGTTTAAAATATATGAGTTTCATATGGCTGCTTAATAAAGTACCACAAACTATGCTTTGAACAACAGAAATTTTGTTATCTCACATTTCAGGAGCCTATTAAATCAATGTGTTGGCAGGGCCATGCCCTTTCTGAAGTCTCTGGGGAAGGATCCTTCCTTCAGTTTTCCTAGGTTTGGGTGGTTTCTAACAATCCTTAGCATCCCTTGGTTTGTGGCAATAAAACTCTAATTCCTGCCTCAATCTTCACATGGGCGTTTCCCTGTGCTTGTCTGTATGTCTGTGTTCTTTTCTTCTGAGGACACTAGTCATCAGATTAGGGGAAAATCTAGTATGATCCAATTTAGCTGATTACATCTGCAAAGACTCTGTTTCCATAAAGGGATGTCCTCAGGTTCAGGGTGATCATGAATTTTTGGGCACACAATTCAACTCAGTACACTATTGCATTCCCTTTTCTTTAAACTCTTTAAACTGGGGTCTCAAACTGATGCTGCCATTTAAGTAACACTTTAAAATTATTTGGAAGTGTTCTCTTGCATAAGGCACAATAAGTTAAGAACATCCATAAAGCCAAGGTGAAGATGTTTTCATTATACTCTCGTTTATTTACAGCTTTGTGCAGTTTCTCTGGAGTAGATTCCTTCCTTCCATGAGTTCATTACTTTCAACATCTTTATGTGTAGATGGTGCAGCTGTGGACTGTGAAAACGAGTCTCTTAATATCCCTATCTTAAGACAACTACCCTTAGACAAAAGAAAAATACATAGTTAATTTTAGGATGAAATATTAAGTTACAAAATAATATTTTAGATACAAAATCTAGAAAAAGTTTCTAAGAATTTAAAAATATCATGAAATAAGATATCAGAATATATTTAGTAGTGATGTTTCCATAGAGGTGTAAGAAAACCTTGTGGGCTCCAAAATCATGATTACTGCATACTGAGCAGAGACCATAGCAAGGAGAACTGAATATAGCCAGAAAGAGCCCAGAGAACAGAGTTAATCTCTGAAAATGCACAAACTTATAGTCTAAAGCAGCTACTTTAGAATTTTTTTTTGACCAAAGGACTCGTTTATTCATTATCATATATTCTAACAATCTGTTTATTTATCCCTCCACAGAACCAAAACCTGGGGCCTAGAATCTGAAATCCAAGGCTTCCTCCGTAATTTTGTGGCTTAACCAGGTACATAGTCCAGGCAGAACAGGTGTCTCCTTTTGGATACTGCAGAAGGAAGCGGGGAACAGGGAGGGACTTAGGCACACCCATATATAAAGATGGCCACGCCAGGAGGCAGGTCAGAAGACAGAGTCTCAGGATAAAGGTACTTTTACTTCAATAAGGGGCTGGGAGTTGGCCAGGAGTGTTATATGGCTAGGAAGGAGTTATTTCCATGGAATTTTTTTGGGGGGGGGGCAGGCTACAGAGAGAAATGAAGGGAGCTCAGCTACACTACGCCATCTGCAAGGTCAGTGGGGGCTGCTGTATGTCTTTACTGTCTCTAGGATAAGGTGATCATAGGCATCATATAGGCAGCATAGCCAAAGAGGCAGGTAGCGATTAGGCCCAGTAACCCTGTGACAATTTGGGAGTGGTTTCCTCTCTCGATAAGGACAACAGTGGAGGTGATCAGATAGAGGATGGCCACTGTGAGGGTCTGCAAGAAATCACTCAAAGGCCAGTTGATGGTTTTTATCTTGGTTTGTAGGTCACACATGTTGATGGCAAAAAAGATAGTGGCAAGGATCATCTCAACCACCAGCAGGGAGGAGGATACTGGTGTGGAGGTGCTGGAGCAGGTCAGAATCACCAGCCAAGATGTAATCTCAGCAAACTGAAGAACTTCTTTTCCAGTGTACAAAAAGTTGGTGCAGGAGGAGGGGATGACAGAGAGGTAACTTCGGGGTTGCTGAGAGGTGCTGGGAATGTACCATATGGTGGGGTGGGGCCTCTAGGGGCACAGAGAATCTCCTTACTTGCTCATGGATTCAGGGACGCTGCATACCCCAAGCTCGAATCACCTTGCTACCTTAGAAATTTCTTAAAAAACACAATATACACACACATTTTATAAGTCAGCAGAGCAATAACATTATCATGTCATGAAGTGGAAAACACTACAGATGCACGAGAAAATGAAATTGATGAAAGTAAAAACATGTTGGTGTTATAATGAAAATAGTGTGAACTGGACCAACCCTGAAAGAGTCTCAGAGACTCTTAAGAATCTGAGCCCTAATTAGAGAAGCAATGTGAAGGACAGACTGAATATGTTTATACCAAATGACAATAATTGTGGGCCCACCACACCAGATGACCGTAATTAACACAAAACATGACATTCTCCTTTGCAGCCTGCACTAAGGCCACTCCCACCCATTCACTAAGTCTACAGACCATATTTGATTTGTATTTGTGTCCTTATTACATCTCTTTATTCCTAAAATACGAACAATGCTCAATAAAAGTTCATTGAAAAAAATTGAGGAATTTTTTATTTCAGCAGAAAACATGAAAATATTTTTAAGTCTTTGGTGCCCTCAGGTGGCACAATATTGCAAAGCAATTTAGAAAAATGCTACATATATTATTTTTATTAGCGGCAGTAGTAGTATTTTTTAATCTTGAGCCCAGTTTGAGTTTAGGTCGCTTCCTCTATGTATCTTTTTTTTAAGATTTTATTTATTTATTTGACAGACAGATCACGAGTAGGCAGAGAGGCAGGCAGAGGGGGAGGGGGAAGCAGGCTCCCTGCTGAGCAGAGAGCCGGATGCGGGGCTCAATCCCAGAACCCTGAGATCATGACCTGAGCTGAAGGCAGAGGCTTTAACCCACTGAGACACCCAGGCGCCCCTTGCTTCCTCTATGTATTAATAAGTGTTTTCTTCCACTCCAAATTATCTTGCGTAAGTCAAACAAATTATTTGGATATATTCCATCCACACTTCCTGTTTCATGTTGATACAGTTTGAAATGTCAATATTCATTACTAAATAGTTGCTCACTACAGTTATCCAGCTGACCAATCTACCATACCACACCATTTCTTGCTCTCCTGTGGCCAAGAAAAATCAAGTGGTTCACATTAGAGAGGTGAGTTGTATATTTGAGTCCTTTTTTTGGGTTGTATTCTTATGCTACCTTTGTCTTTGATTCAATTCTTCACTATTTAACCTTCTTATGGCTGTGCATTTCTTTTGAGAGAGACATTTATTTCATATTAGGAATGTACAGAGTATTTTTGTATCTTCCTTTATATTTTTTCTTGTTATTGTGTCTTCCAAAACAGATGAATTTTTACTTTGTCAATTTGTAGGTTCGTGAGTTTCTATCCAAAGTTGCCTATTCACAGGAAACTCTTAGATAAATAGAAAATGTGGGTGCTTTTCCCAGTTATTATTAAGGAATTTGGCAAATCTGATGACATGACACGAGATGTATTGTGTTCCTTTTACTACTAAAATTGTTAAAAATACTTTGAAATCATTCAATTACCTGATGGTTCGTGCAGTAGAAAGAACCAGGAGTGAAAAGAACCTGAAGAGAGATACTTGCTTTAGGAATGCCCAGTCCAAGTTCGATTCATTGTGAAGAACCTGGAGTGTTTTTTGTGTTGTTGTTTGTTGTTTTCTTTTTGGAGATATAAAAGTGATGAAAAGGAAGGTTGGAAGAATTAAAATTTTTGCCTAGGGAAAACTCTAAGGGAGAGGCATACCCAAAGTACATTTACAATATAACTACTCTTCTTTATTTTATTTATTTATTTTAAAGATTTTTATTTATTTATTTGACAGACAGAGATCACAAGTAGGCAGAGAGGCAGGCAGAGACAGAGGGGGAAGTGGGCTCCCTGCTGTGCAGAGAGCCTGATGTGGGGCTCGATCCCAGGACTCTGAGATCACAACCTGAGCCCAAGGGAGAGGCTTAACCCATTGAGCCACCCAGGTGCCCCATGACTATTCTTCTTTAATTTAAATATGTTGTTTCGTGATATCAACAAGAACTTATGGAGAATTTAATACATATCAGCCACTGTTCCGGGCTCTGGGAACGCAGATATTGAAAACGGAGTCCCATCCTTCATGAAGTTCTTCACCTAGTGAGGAAAGAGTGAAGTTAAAACCAAGATAGCATTATGACCTGCAGAAAGGCATTTCAGAAAATTCCCTGCAAATACGGAAAATTCTCCTCCTTATTTTGACAAGTAATTAAATGTTAGCTGGATGATGGAGGAAAGGGTGTTTCAACATAGGGGCTAGTGTGTGATCAGTATTAGAGGAGAAATAAGTAAAGGCCACTGTAGCAGACGGAGATCTTGACAAGCAAACTAAATATCTGAGATGTTGTCCTGGAGGCAATGAGGAATTACTGAAGAGAAGTCATATGAGCAGATCTATATATTTTAGAAAGATCACTTTGGCCAGAGTGTAAAGAAAAGCTGGGAAGGGGGTACACTGGGAAATAGGGAGACAGTTAAAACTGTTGCAATAATACTGGCAAAGAATGGAAAAGAATTGAACTAAGGGCAAGTGTAGTGGGAATGAAACTGAGGTGTTAAAGAGGGAGAGTCGCTAGGATTTTTTTGGTAAGGGAGTCAAGAGGTCAAGGCTATCTGCTCTGTGCTTGGCTTCGATGGTTGTGTCATCCCTTAAGAAAAGAAATTGAAGGGGCGCCTGGCTAGCTCAGTTGGAAGAACATGTGATGCTTAATTTTGGGATTGTGAATTTGAACGCCACAGTGGGTGTAGAGATTAAAAAAATTAAGAAAATAAAACAAATCTTTAATTAAAAAGTAAAAAAATATTAAAAAATCTTACAAAATAAAAGAAATTGAGAAGGAAGAGTGTATTTTGAGAGAAAAAGAATGTCCACCTTGGATGTTGAATTTGAGGAATTCAAATGGTAATGTCTAGAAAGCCGTTATTCATACAGATTTGGAGTTCAGAAAGGGGTCACCAGAGAGAGACTAGCCAGTGAAATCTGGAGGGGGACTGATCTTGGAAGAAATGAGTGGAACTGACTCAGTTTCCTGTTTTGATGCCTTCTAGCCTGAGTCAGGACCTAGTTAGGAACAGTTAAAACACCAGTGGAAAACCTTTCTGGGTGAAGGACCATACGACAGAAAGTTAGGGGTGACTTCCAGAAGGAAATGACCCACAGAAGGAAAGCTCCAAACTTGGTCTATAAACTGTTGGACAGACTTAGGTTGGATCCGTAGGGGCTGACCTGGGGTGGGGTATTTCAATCCATAAAGCCTTAGGTCCTTCATTTTTATCTTTATTTATTTATTTTTAAAGATTTATTTATTTATTTGAGAGAGGACATGAGCAGGGTGAGGGGCAGAGGGAGAGGGAGAGAGAATCCTTAAGCAGACTCCCCGATGAGGATGGAACCTGAGTGGGGGCTTGATCCCAGGGTCCTGAGATCATGACCTGAGATCATCACCTGAGCTAAAACCAAGGGTCTGAACCACCCAGGTGTCCCAGGTTCTTCATTTTTAAAATACAAAAGCTAATATTTTGCAATGTGGATATGAGGAGTAGAAAAGTACAAGTGTTTCACAGAATGCCTTGCCATATAGTAGACTCTCAATAAATGACTGTTTCATTAATCAGGATTCTGCTAGTGGCAAGTGACAGAAACTGAATTCAAGCTTGTCAAGCAGAAAAGGAATTTGATCAACAGTGAGGAAGAATGGGAGTAATCAGCAACCCATTGTCACCAGGACTTGTGAGGTTCTCTCCCCTTCCTTCCCCTTCTTTCCCACACACACCCTGCCTTGTCTCCTGAGGTTTACCCTTTATTGTCCTGTTTGTTGATAGCTTCCTCCTTTGGAAGTGGGTGTGGGTGGATGTGAAGGAACCTGATGCAGAGCGGTCCAGGCTGACACCCTCTGTGGTAACCTCAGAATGCCTTCCAAAGATGTCCATGTCCCAATCCCACGAACCTGTAGCTATGTTACCTCACATAGCAAAAGGGAATTAAGACCGCATTTGGGGGGCATTTGAGTTGCACTTTTTTTTTTTCTTCTTAAGATTTTATTTGTCAAAGAGAGGGAGAGGTCGCAGGCAGGGGGAGAAGCAAGGAGAAGCAAGGAGCCCAACGTGGGGCCCGATCCTAGGACCCTGGGAGCATGAACTGACCTGAAGGCAGACACTTAACTGGCTGAGCCACCCAGGCACCCAATTATAGACTATTATGTGTAGTTTGATCCTATTTTCGAAAATTAAAAAAAAGAAAAAGGTGCATGTGCCTGTGTATTTGTATATTTTTGTATGAGCATAGAGAAAGTTATGGAAAGTTATGGAAGGATTCTTTTTTTTTTTTTTAAGATTTTTTATTTTTATTTATTTGACAGAGATCACAAGTAGGCAGAGAGGCAGGCAGAGAGAGAGAGGAAGGGAAGCAGGCTCCCGGCTGAGCAGAGAGCCCGATGTGGGGCTTGATCCCAGGACCCTGGGATCACAACCTGAGCTAAAGGCAGAGGCTTTAACCCACTGAGCCACCCAGGCGCCCCTTATTTAAGAAATTTTTAAAGTAAATTCCACCCCCAGTGTGGGACTTGAACTCATGATCCTGAGATCAAGAATTATATGCTCTACTCACTGAACAGCCAGGCACCCTGAGATTTTATTTGAGTATGTGAAAATGGCTGAGGGGGGAAAAAGTTCTTTGGAATTCACAGAAAGTGTGAGATGGGAACATTTCCTTCTGTGACATCGCCAGTGAATGTAGAACATACTGGATAATTTAATGGGATTTTTAATAGAAATGAAACCACTCAGCTAATGAATTTGTTAGCTTACAAGAAGGAGGTTCTCAGCAAAGACATGCAAGTACTTTCATACTTGTCGATAAGGGTATCACTTACCAGCAGAGGGGGCCAAAGAACTTTCCATGACTGGGAAGCTCCTTGGCTACAGAATACTGGTCAGGATCACCTTTTCTTGCC